CATCCCGCACGGGGCGGCTGCGGGTTTTTTTGCGCGGATCCGTCTGGGGGAGGGGGACACGGGGCAGCGCTTACCCCCGCGGAGTACCCGCGGTACCGGGAGGGACCCTCCGCACCCCCCGACACCGCCACGTCGCAGGGGCTGCCCCGGGGGAGGGAAAAGGCGGGGGGAAAGCCCCCGATGGCGGCGGGGGGGGCACCGTGGGGGCCGCCCCGGGAAAGAGGGACGGGGACCACAGCCCCGGGCACCGCTCCTCCTCCCCGGCCACCCACCCGGCCTCCGCGCTGCCGGCTCCCACTCCCTCCTCCTGCTTCTCTCCATTGTCTTCCCACTTCTCGCGTGGAGGTGGCAACTCCTCTTTATCCTTTTTTTAAATCTTTTTCCCTCCCTCCTCGACACTACCAGGCGATGTTCCCCACCTCTTCTCCCCCATGTGCCACCTTCCAAGGTGTCCTAACCCCACACCGAGCTGCCTTTGAAGCGCTCTCCCCTCTCCATTAAGTCCACCTGGTCCAGATCATGTTCCACCAACGTTTCCAGCTGGGTTGCTTACCCCTCAGATCTCCTCTTCCAGGAGGAGAAAGAACTTCTGCCCAATGCCCCTTCCACCTGTCAACGTGCCTTCTTCAGCTCTTGCATCCCGTCAACCTTGCCCCTGCATCTCAGCCCTGCTCCTCCACTGCCTCGGCTGCATCCTTAATCACGTCCTTCCCTTTAAATTGGATAATTGTACGGAAAACCTACTGGTTTTATCCTGCCTGGGCTGTAAGTGCTTGGGGTCATGTATTTGCACGTCTTCCACCATGGTGAGGAGTTCCAACAGGCCACAGAAGGTGGTCATGTGCTATCGCTGCTGAACCGGTGACGAACCTTAAATCCATTTCCTTAATAAAATAACAAAGTTTGAACAACTTAATATATGAGGCTGGCCACAGCCCAATTCTGAGCAGTTCCTTAGGGAGGCTATCCACTTCAATTTTTTTTTTTTATACCTACCTCCAGCCTTGGACGCTGCTGGTGAAGTGCCAAAGAATCAGATCTTGTGCATCATAAAGAAACAAATGGAAAAACAAGAAGTAATACGGGAGATTTATCTCTGCATTACCTCTGTTAGCTCAGGCATTCATGAACTGAAATGCGTATTACAACGAAAACAGACCGGAATATATTGTGTAGATAGTCACAGCAGAAGCTATTTGTATGCTTTTAAAGCATGTCAGCACAGCTTTCAGCGAGAACAACAAGAGGTTCAAAGAAGCAGGAGCTAAGTTCAATCAGTTGATGGAAAATGCAAGAGGCACTTACTAAACTCAAACCCTCCAGATGTACGTCGGGGTAGGTTTTACCACTGTTTAGGTTTAATACACCTTTTAAAACCACAAAACCTCTTAAAATAATCTGACCATAAATGTAAAGAAGGAAGCATTCTGATCCAAAACCATTTTTTTTAGTGTCGTGGGTGAGATCTGAATAAGACATAGAGCTGCATCTCTCCAAAAGATTGATGCCAGTGAGAATTGGCTCAGATTACGTTAGGTTTTTCATCATTTATGATATTATTTAGGTCTCTTTAGGCAGACAGCTTCGTCCCTTGAAGAATTACAGAGATAGCAAATAGAGCATAGGAGTGGGCTAGGAGAGCTCCTGCAATTTTCACAAAGAGCTGCACAACCTGCCAGGTTCTTCTCCCCTTTTTCCTGACCCCTGGCTCGGAGCAGGGTCTGCAGTGTCTCACACACATTTGTTTCTAATCCAAAATGGTCATATTAGCCCATTTTCCCCCATAGAACCTGAATTATGTGTGAGAGGGCTTACAACAGTTCAAATGCAAGGAAGACTGTGAGACATTTGGATGCCTTGATAACGAGGAATAGAAACTCTCACAGACACGCAAACAAAAAGTACTTCCCTCAGCACTTCAAATGCAGAAATTCCTGCCTAGGAACATAGAAATCCCATCTCCAGAGACTCTAGTTTCTGGTTTAAATCTCAGCTGTCACTGCTGAAGGAGTTTACAGCAGAAGAAACCCTGGATTCTCACCAGAGGGGTGCAAGAGAGACATCAGGTATACCTGGATTAGAGTTTTATTAGTGATACAGTTTGAGATTAGCATACCCTTCACAAGAAAAGTATTCGTGCTTGACTCACTCTGCAAACATCAGGGGCAAACAGAAATTTTGCAGTGAATCACAAAATAACACTGTCTTGAAATAAAAAGCGCCGGCGAGGCCCAGCTCCTCTCTGCTGATTTGGGATGGGTGCACCTGCCCCTTGGCCTTAGTGATCTCAAACCCAGGCACCTCCTGAAAGGCAATTACAGCTACTCTGAGGTAGCTAATGGAGAGCAAAAGCACGCCCAGAGCATGATGCATCCCATCACAAAATAGTACCTTCAGGCTTCTGGAGAAGCTCACCTCGTTCCCTTGTCTATAAGGGGAGTGCAGGCACCTACCTTCACCGAGTCACTGGATTTTTAGGTAGCTAATGTGAGGTGACAAGAATCCCCTCCTCACTGATTGACCACAGCAGAGAGACCACACGGCTCTAAAAACAGCAGTACAGGAGGGTATGATGTTAAACCGAGGGCATGGCTCTGACCACAGGTATTTTTGAAGATGTCCAACTGCAAACATGGGCAAACACACGCTACGTGGAGATCAGCCTTCTGCCATGGGGCGATATTTCATTACCTCCCCAGCTTTTGTCAGAAGGTGGTAAGGATTTCTGGTGCTGTTGAATTCAGCAAACATTTCCACGTCATCTCGCATAACCGCTTCATGTCATCACCATCCTTCCTTGGTCCCTGCGATCAGCTCACTAACATGAGATCTCACATTCTGTGACCATTTCAGGTGATCCCAGTGCCCCTCTCCCACTCTGGGGTGCCAGCATCCATACATTGGCACATCTGTACATCACCTTTCCATTTCACCCTTTGGTGTGCCTGACACTGAGAAATCAAAATCCGATGGTCATAAACATTATGGATTATAGGGTGATCTCGAGAAGAATAAAATAAAATCCAGGTATCTTACTATGCCTGAAGTTGAAAATTCATTTTAAAAACAAAATGCATTTGCCTGTTATTCCTCAGCAGCCTGAATTTGCTAGACCCGTCATGGTGAACCTCAATTAAAGCGAGTTAGAAAAAAAATCAATAAAAATAAATCAATTAAATACAAAAGAGTATGTTCTAGGTCAGGATGAAGATCAAGATAGATAAGGAGTTCTGCCGTCTGCCCTTTCTTCTGACCCCAGAAGTCTCCAAAATCCTCTTATTCAGTTTTAATTTCTCTTTCAATTTTTCAGTGCCCTCGCTCCAGGGAGGGAATCTCATGCTCGTGTCACAGGGGTTTCCTGTGCTGTGTCTGTGCTGGCTTGGGCTGGGGTAGGGTTAATTTTCTTCATAGTAGCTAGTATGGGGCTGTGTTTTGAGTTTGTGCTGGAAACCGTGTTTATAATAGAGATGTTTTAGTTACTGATGAGCAGTGCTCACACAGAGTCAAGGCCTTTCCTGCTCCTCACACCATCCCACCAGCGAACAGGCTGTGGGGGGACAAGAAGTTGGTAGGGGATGTAGCCAGGAGAGCTGCACCCCAACTTTTCCCACAGAAGCTGTGGCTGCCCCATCCCTGGAGGGGTTCAAGGCCAGGCTGGATGGGGCTTGGAGCAACCTGGTCTGGTGGGAGGTGTCCCTGCCCAGGGCAGGGGGTTGGAACTCAATGATCTTGAAGGTCCCTTCCAACCCAAACCATTCCATGATTCCATGATTCTAGGGTTTCATGATTCTATGATTCTAACTGACCAGAGGGATATTCCATACCAGATGACATCATGCTCAGCAATAAAAGCTGGGAGGAGAAGAAGAAGAAAGCACTGGATGTTCAGAGTTATGGCGTTTGTCTTCCCAAGAAACCATTACCCGTGATGGAGCCCTGCTTTCCTGGAGATGGCTAGACACCCCAATGCCCATGGGAAAGCAGTGAGTGAATTCCTTGTTTTGCTTTGCTTACGTGCACCACTTTTGCTTTGCCTTTTAAACTGTCTTTATCTCAGCCCAGAAGTTTTCTCACTTTTCTCTCCCCAGTCCCACCGGGGACAGAGGGCGAGCGGCTGCGTGATGCTTAGTTGCTGGCTGGGGTTAAACCACGACAACGTGTCGCTGACATATCAAAAGCTCCACCTATAACTTAGAACAGGTTTTCCTACAGTCCTGTGAGAGAGAGGAAAGCACCTTAATTCACCAAACTTTCCAGTGAGGAAAAACATGAGAGGATGAAGGGATTTACCCAGTGTCCCTCAAGGATTTGTGTACAAGGCAGGAGTGAACCTTGCATTTTCGGCGACCCAAGTTCACAAGCTCAACCAGAGGACTATTTTCATTCATGACTTAACGTTCATACCCTTGATCCCAGACGGCTGCCCACTTTTTTGGGCCAGGGGTCCCCAGCAGCAGGAAGAATTCCTCAAGAATATCCTCTTGGTTCCACCGTGTCTGGGGAGAACACAGCCGTTCGCAGGGGCTCACCCACGGGGGTGGATTTGCAGGGGGTGGTTTTCCTCCCAAAGCCTGAGCCCCAGCTGAGCAGAGGCCAGCACACGCCGCTCAGGAATCTCAAGCATGGACCTTCTGCCCCAGCAAGAGCCTTCCCCGTGCCCAAAGCCTCACATGCCCAGGGGGATATTTCCACCAACAACGTGTAACACGGAGAGGAGTTGTGGCCGTACCCTCTTGGACATCACCAAAAAAGCACTTTTGGAGGCCTCATGGCCTCGCTCTCTCCTTCTGAGCAGCGAAGGG